ATGACGAGTGGAAAAGCGTCGGTCCACTATCAAACGTTTGTAGTTGAATGTGAAGCTTTAGGCAGTCGGTGAAAGCGTTCTACCAACCCGTTTGCTTGTGGGTGGTAGGTGGTCGTTCGGAATCGTGTTATGCTTAATAGTGAGGCCAGACAACGGAAAAGTCTAGATTCAAAATGGCGTCTACGGTTCCGGTGATAGTTGAAGGACAACTGTAATTTGATACGCACTGTTCGACGAAGGCGCGGGTCACTGTTTTGGTAGTGGTGTCCTTTATAGGTACTGCTTCTGGCCGTCGCGTGAGACGGTCTACGCAGGTTAAGAGATAAGAGTATCCATTTGAATCTGGTAAAGGTCCCACCAAATCCAGATGAACATGGTTGAAACGAGAGTCGGGAGTTTTGAAAGAGCCTAAGGGACATTTTTCGTGTCTAATCACCTTGGATTACTGGAAGCCTACACAGGAGTGTGCCTACTCCCTCACGTCCTTATTCATACCAGGCCAACAAAACCGTTTTGCCATAAGCTTGATAGTTTCATGGACACCTGGATGAGAAATGTTGTGCAACGTATCGAAGACATTGTGTCGATAATCTTTCGGCACGGTTGGGCGATCCCTACCTGTAGATGTGTTGCGTTGTAAGGTTTCCTTACCTGTTCCCATCTGTTTAATGGACAGCTTAAGTGTTGTTGACGATAACTCGTGCTGAAGATCGGTGTCTTCTTTTTGAAGCTGAGCGAGTTCAAGATGGTCGATTTTTTGGACACTGTTCCAGGAAGTCATACGAGACAGAGCGCCTGCCGCTATATTGTTTGCCCAAGAAATGTGTTGTGTATCTGAAGTAAACCGTGAAATTTATACTAGTTGTTAAGACTCTCGATGGGAGTACTTGTCTGAATACGAACTTAAAGAGAAGGTAAGAGGTTTATGTTCGGCAAAAAGTAAATTCTCAGCCTTCTACAGAATGTTGAAAGTGCTGCACAGCACAATACATAGCTAGAACTTCCCTACTGAAAGTGCTATACCGCGATTCAGTGTCTAGCAAACGTCTCGAGAAAAATGCCAAAGTTTGCCAGGAGTGGTTAACCCACTGTCGTAAGTCTCCTCCGATTGCTGAGTCGGATGCGTCTACTGCGATACTAATGGATGCTTCAGTGTCACGACGAGCATGCATTGTTGCTTTAGCAATAAGTTCCTTAACTGTGAAGAATGCTTTTCGCGCGGTGTCGTCCGGATTGATGGATTTCGCATTTCCATGAAGTTGGTTGGTTAGCGGTTTCATAAGTGACGCGCATTTCGGTATGAACCGTCTATAGAAACTTAAAAGGCTGTTAAACGTGTGTAATCGCTTGATGGTAGTCGGTTCTGGGTAATCCAGAATAGAAGCCATTTTGGTTCTAAGGGGTCGGATGCTTTGCGCATCGAGTGTGTATTTGGGAAGTCTAATGAGTCAGTTCCGATTTGGCGTTTCTGAATGTCTACAGTAATGCCGTGGTTTTGTAGTCGTTCGAAAACAAGATCCAGATGCTTGAGATGTGATTCTCTGTCCGGACTTGCGATTAGGCAGTCATCAACACACACATGTACGAAGTTGAGACCTCGAAAAACGTCGTCTATGAACCTATGGAAAGTTTGTGCAGCGTTTCTTAGACCGAAAGGCATTCGCGAAAATTCGTAGAGTCCGAAGGGAGTTATGATAACTGTTTTCGGAATATCGTCAGTAGCCATAGGGATTTGGTTTTGTGCTTTAACCAAGTCGATTTTCGAAAAGACAGTTGTACCTTTCAAGGTAGCTGTCAAATCGTGAATATGAGGCAACGGATAATGATCGGGAGTGGTTTTCGCATTCAATCGCCGATAGTCACCAGTTGAACGTCAATCGTTGCTGTTCTTTTTAGGGACCATGTGCAACGGAGATGCCCATGGGCTGTTTGACGGTCTTATGATACCTAAGTCTATCATGTGGTCGAACTCGTTTTTCGTCAACCTTAGCTTTTCGGGGGCTAATCGTCGAGCTTTAGAGAATACAGGTGGTACTGTAGTCGTGATGTGATGTCTAACGTTGCTGGTTACACACGGCAATTTCGGTTACGTTTGGTATATCCCAGAATACTTAACGAGTAGTGGTTGGTAGAACGGGTCTGTAGAATTATGGTCTACTATGATATTAGTACTGCTCTAATAATAGACCTAATCCTAAACTTGTAAATTTGTCATGACATAACTGTCTAATCTATAAGATCTTACGTGGAAGTCACACCAACTCACTGTATCGTATCAATTACCATGATGTAGAACAAGGTTAGGCTAGAAAAGGACAATATATTTAATATGAATAGAAGATATAAGGTAACATTCAGCAGAGACCACGCCTGCGTGGCCGAGCCATGCCACTCGATCAACTCCAGTCCATTTCATTCATTGTTCGCGCCTTCTCCATTGTTAGGTATTTCTCCGTGTTAAATATTGAATATTTATTTTCCGAGTAATCTCATATTCAGCTTTGAGGATTGTGTGGTTATGGTCCAATGCCACTACAGGTCTTTCATGTGCTTAATTATAACTGGAAATAATCCGCAACCAGAGAAAGAAGTTACGCAAACAGATAAATTAGTGTTTCCGTCTACTAGCCTCCATTTGCGCGTATCGATGAGGAGGTTATGGTGTTGTAGAAGGTCTATACCAATGCATGACATAGAAACATCTGCAACAACGAAGATCCAGTGTATGGGTTTGCGTAAACCTATGTTAGGGTAAACGTACCTTCTACCATATGTGGCAATAGGCTTTCCGATTGCCGCCTATAAGCCGACCCTTGAAGCCGGTCGCTAGAATTCGCAGGAAGAACACTAACTTCTGCGCCAGTATCGACAAAGTAGCGAACTCTCGTTGTCACATCTGTGACGTACAACAGACGGCTATGTTCGCTGGCTACGGTTGCCGCTAACGCGTGCCGGCTTGGAAGTTTCCCGAGTGGTTTTTCGTGTCGGTCGGTTTTGAGTTGGGAAAATTGAAGGGGTTTCTGCAATTTCTGGAAGACTTTCCATACTGGTTATGATACCAGCACCAGTCGAGGTTATCAGTCTCTCGTGGTTTAGAGACAGATCGCTTAAGTGAAGAGCTTCTTCGAGGGGTGTGTGACCGTTTACGGTCGTTACGAAACGTAAGATAACGTGTAAGTGTATGACACAACTCTGTTATGTCATTCTGGGTCGTTTGAGGTTTTTCTTTGACTGAAAAAACCTTGGCATTAGAAAATTTGGTGATTTCTAAGATGCGGTCGACCGATGCAGCCAACTCGTTTAAGGTGTTGTTTTGAAACGAGCCAAGCACAACTTGCACCTATTGAGGAAGTTTGGATAAGGAAAGTTGTTTAAATAAGCCATCATCGAAGGTTCTTTGGCCGATAACCTCCCTCATTCTTTGCAACATGTCCGTCGCAGAACCGTGTTGTAGGTCAATTTTATCAAGGAGTTGGCCTAACCTTTGTCGATCGGTCAGGTCTCCGCGGTTAAGGATAGATCGTTTAAGTGTTTCGTAAGGTTCAGAAACATCGCTAGCAAACATGCTAGGTGTTATGTACCCGTTGAATTCGCGAGGTAGTGCCTTGACTACTACGAGGAATTGTGCACGTGTGTCAATCGCGCCGTGCTTGTGGAAGTCGGCCTCTGTGTAGCGAAACCAGGCTTCGATGTTGTCTGGCCAGAAGGGTGTAGCGGTAAATAAATCCCCAAAACAAATAGCTCATTAAGTTTTCGACATTGGATGCTGACCACATTAGTTTTCATGGACTCACCTAGCTGAAGGCTCTCGGCCATGCACCAGCACCAGATCGCTAGTGGGAACGTCGTGCTCAACAACCCCTGTAATCGCTAGCCAGATTAGATCAGACGATCCTCGATATATTGATGGTCTATCAAATATATCTTTGAACCTCCTCGCTTCTGTCTTTTGACTTCACTTGGTTGGTAGGATTCATATTAAAAGGTGTTACTGGTTCAAGCGTTGTCAAACTCCGAATACCTGTGGGATCTTCAAAGGCATTAGTTGAACTGAAGTTGAGAACATAGTCTTCAACTTAAGTGTCATGGGTGTCTGTTCAGTCATGGTGAAATATGAAGTACGAGAATGAACGAGTGAAAAAAATGCATCAAAAACACGGGAAAAATATCACAATATATAAAAAATTAATGCAAGGCAATAATATACAGAATTCCAAAAAGAAACAGACTCACAGTTTGCAATTTGGTGTGCCACATTACGTCGGGCTCGCCAATCAAGATGCCATAGGTATTTGGAGTTTGACAACGCTCTAATTAGTAACATCTACTACGAATCCTAACAAACAATTGAAATCAAAAGACAGAAGCGAGGAGGTTCAAAGATATATTTGATAGACTATCAATATATCGAGGATCGTCTGATCTAATCTGGCTAGCGATTACAGGGGTTGTTGAGCACGACGTTCCCACTAGCGATCTGGTGCTGGTGCATGGCCGAGAGCCTTCAGCTAGGTGAGTCCATGAAAACTAATGTGGTCAGCATCCAATGTCGAAAACTTAATGAGCTATTTGTTTTGGGGATTTATTTACGTTTATATACTCTCACCGGTCCTGGTATATTTATTATCCTTACAGATCTCTTCAAGCTTAAAAGAATGATTTATGCCACACATTTTTAAACGAGCAAAGCCATTATCTTAGATTTTCATTGGAAAATTTTCTTTCAGCTATGTTTGCTTTACAAGTATTGAAGGATTGAAGAATTGTAGATTAGCGGGAGCGATTAATAATAACGATACAGGGTTAGTAAACGGTGGTTTTGGTGCTAACTTTTGACATTATGGCGAACCTGCGCCGACTAAAACCCCTCTACCCCCAAATTTTTACGACCAGAACTTTAGCAGATTATGTTAATAAACAGAAATGCGTTAATTTTGGGGTGATTTTAACTCAGGTCATTAGAAATAAAATTATGCTTTGCAACCATGCTGGTGATACACACGAAAGTTACGTCCATAGCAGTTTCCAAAGTAGTCTTTATTGGTTGTTATAGAGGTGTTCATCACACCTATGAAAACTTCGGTTTTCTTCGTTCCGAAATTATGTGATGCACATATATTCCTAGGCTCACAAACATCAGCTGAGACAGCGTTTGGCAAGTAGACTTTTCATCAGAACTTGCTTACTTCATGTAGCTGTCAGGTCAAAAACACCTAGGTTTTGTGTCATGTGGTCAAGCATGTCGTTTGTTTTTTATGTGCATAGTTGGTTCAACTCATCATACTTTTGTGTACAATAAGGTATCAGAGCATATTACTTAGAGTCATATAACGAAGAGTTGATTTCAATCATTTATAGTGCTTCACACTTCCTGGATCAAATGGTTCACATGTGAGTCTTGTCGCACTCCTTTTGTGACTAGTTCATAAGTTTCTTGGTGTTCAGTGTTGGTCCCTTTATTGCATCTCTAATTACTTTTTAATGTCAAGATTTCCAAAATCGTTTTGGTTTGTAAAATAATTGTTTTGTGTCCGCTTCTTAAGTGGCATTATGGCAGACGGGTATATTTCTTTCTGGTCGTGGTTGGAATGCGATGTGATAACTGCAACAAATGATGCCATAACAAATACAATGAACTCACTATATCCGCTTATGGAGATTACAAATATGGTGAGCATAGGAAACTTGGAATTTATTGTCATTTGCTAACGTCAGAAGTAAATAATAGCAAAATTCAGTCATTTAGTTTCTCACTCTAAAGGATCGACAGAATAAGCTGTAGAGGTGGCGTTATTCAGTGCTTAAAGAGCACTGTAACCATACGAGATATCAAGACAGTGGTACATAAATCACGAACATTTGAGTTGATGCAGTGCCGGCTTGGATGTAAAGAGTAAGACTAGTTGTAGTTTACCGTAGCCCTTAATGTATATTAGATTATTTCCTCTCAATTAGGTTGACTAATATATTAGCTAAGATCTGGGAGTTGGACGTTATCCCATCTGACTGGTCACAATCACTCATCGTCCCAATATATAAGAGAGGGTCAAAATCATCCTGTGATAACTATAGAGGGATTAATTTAACTAATACAGTATCTAAAATACTAGTCTCGATAATTATCGGATGCCTAGCTAAGACTCGTGAACTGCAAACACGAGAGAATCAAGCTGGCTCCAGACCTGGTCGTGGCTGCACCGACCACATATTCATCATTCGTCAGGTTCTAGAACACAGGCATACTTACCGGCGTCCGACAATAATGGTCTTTTTTGAATTAAAAGCAGCATTTGACTCTGTAAACCGCGATATTCTGTGGCAGTGTCTGTTATTGAAAGGCGTACCTCAGAAGTACATAAACCTTGTATAGGCTCTTTACTCGAACACTACTAGTCAAGTCAGAGCTTATGGCGAACTGTCATCTGCTTTTGTAACATTAAGCGGTGTCCGTCAAGGCTGTCCACTGTCTCCATTTTCGTTTAACTTCATCATAGACCTACTGATGAAAATAACGTTCTCGTCGACTGAATTATCGGTATTGATCCCCTTCCAGGAGGTCCACTTATCGACTTAGAATACACAGATGACATAGTTCTGTTTGGTGAAGACGTTGATAAAATGCAGAGTCTTTTGGTAGCACTGAGTAACGATGCCAGAATTTTTGGAATGCACTTCTCTCCCTCTAAATGCAAGTTGTCGCTTCAGGACTGGTCTGCGTCAACACCTGAACTAAGGATAGGGAGTGAAGTAGTCGAACGCGTTGACACCTCCACTTATCTTGGAAGTCTGATCAACCCTAATGGGTTGGTGTCCGATGGAATCTCAGCACGCATTCGAAAAGCTCGTTTGGCTTTTGCCAACTTGCATCACCTATGGCGAAGGCGGGATATCCGTTTAACAATAAAAGGACTAGTATACTGCGCAGCAGTTTGTTCTATTCTACATTACGGCTGCGAAATGTGACCATTAAGAGTAGAAAATACTCGTAAGCTATTAGTATTTGACCACAGATGCCTTAGAAATATTGCTGGCATCTGCTGGGATCACCGAGTAAGTAATAGTGAGGTTAGACGCAGGGAATGATGGTAAATAAGTTGATGAGGTTATGAATCTTCATCGACTGAAATGGTTGGGTCACGTGTTACGTATGCCTGAACACCGATTACCACGGCGTGCAATGCTAACCGGTGTTGGGGATGGTTGGAAGAAAGTTAGGGGCGTCCAAACCAAAACGTGGCATCAGTGCTTGAAGTCACTAACTTCTAGTCTGAGCCATGTTGGTAGATGCGGACTACTTGGTCGGGATCCACGTGACTATCGTAACTAATGGTTGGAGACTGTGGTTGACATGACTTAGAATCGATCACAATGGCGTAGGTGTTTACACTTTATGTCTTCCCTTAAAGTAACATTAAAATCACTTAATATCTTTCTTTCTACGAACTAATTCCTTCCTCCTGTACTTCATCCTTATATGCAATCTTTCTTTTATGTATTATTACCATTGAATTAACTACTATGAATTTGGTGTTCATCTTGCTGTGCTAATGCGGTATGGCAACCTGGACCGATGCATTTATGTGCCTGGTCCCACGTTGTAGCTGACTGACTGACTCAAACAAACTACAGTCCTGGTCAAACCAGTGCAGTACATTCATAATGGGTGACTTCAATGTACGTTTTATAAAGTCAGTCAGTCAGTAACGACGTAGAGCTTCTTACGTACGTACATCATTTCGAGTTGCCATACCACATTAGCACAGAGATGTAGTTGTTCATTCAAATCCCGTAGTGGTAGAGGTAGTAAGAGTATAAGCAGTAACCTTTTTAAAGTGAGCTTAGAGTCAGGTTCATCAAAAAGCCGTCTAACTAAAATCTTCTAGAAATCAAAATCTCGCTCTCTTTATTACAGTACATTATGGATCTCACCAGATGACATACATGGCGCTCATCTATCCTACACTTAATCACCACTCATAATGATAATTCTAATCAAATACCCTTCACTCATAGGGAGAAGTAATGATTACTTACTTACTTTACTTACGCCTGTTACTCCCAATGGAGCATAGGCCGCCGACCAGCATTCTCCAACCCATCTGGTCATGGGCCTACCTTTCTAATTCCATCCAACTCATGTTCATTTTTCTCATGTCTGTCTCCATTTCTCGGCGTAATGTGTTCTTTGATCTTCCTCTTCCCCTCCGGCCATGAGGATTCCATGTGAGGGCTTGCCTTGTGACTCAGTTGGGTGCTTTCCTCAATCTGTGTCCTATTCACTTCCTGCGCTTCTTCCTGATTTCTTGCTTCACTGGTTTCTGGTTTGTTCTCTCCCATAGTAGGTTGTTGCTGATAGTGTTTGGCCAACGAATCCCAGATATTTTGCGTAGACAGCTGTCAATAAACACTTGTATTTTTTGTATGATGACTTTCGTAGTTCTCCAGGTTTCCACCCCATACAGTGGAACTGTCTTGACATTTGTATTGAAAATTCCGGCCTTGGTGTTGGTTGACAGTTGTTTTGAGTTCCAGATGTTGTTCAGTTGTAAATATGCTGCTCTTGCTTTTCCGATTCGCGCCTTCACATCTGCATCAGACCCACCGTGTTCATCAATGATGCTGCCTAAATATGTAGAGGTTTTTACATCTTCCAAATCTCTGTCAAGTGTGATGTGGTTGGTGCATGTTGTGTTGTATCAGAGAATCTTGCTTTTTTCTTTGTGTATGTTGAGACCTACTGCTGCTGAGGCTGCTGCTACACTAGCTGTCTTCTCTCGCATTTGTTGTTAGGTGTGCGATAGAAGAGCCAGATTGTTTGCGAAGTCTAGATCGTCCATCTGCATCCTAGCTGTCCACTGTATCCCATGCTTCTCCCCAGATGTTGACGTCTTCATGATCCAGTCGATCACCAGGAGAAAGAGAAAGGGTGATAGTAAACAACCTTGCCTGACACCGGTTTTTACCTCTAACGAGTTTGTCACTTGTCCTCTATGCACGATTTTGTAGTTTAATCCATCATAGGAATTCCGTCTGATATTGACTATCTCCTCAGGTATGCCGTAATGTCATAGAAGCCTCCATAGTGTTGTCCTGTCCACGCTATCAAATGCTTTTTCGTAGTCAATGAATTTGATGTAGAGTGATGAATTTCATTCAATTGATTGCTCCACAATGATCTGTAGTGTTGCGATTTTGTCTGTACACTATTGATCCTTACGGAATCCGGCCTGTTGGCCTCGACGTTGGGTGTCTACGGAGTCTTTCATTCTGTTTAACAGCACCGATTTGAAGACTTTTCCTGGTATTGAGAGATGCCCCTGTAGTTCATACACTTTCTGAGTTCGCCTTTCTTTGGTATCTTGATCAGGTATCCTTCTCTCCAGTCTGTTAGCGCTTGTTCTTCATCCCAAATCTTGCTGAAGAGAATGTGCAATATCCTTGCAGTTACTGCTACATCTGCTTTCAGTGCCTCTGCTGGAATGTTGTCTGATCCTGCTGCTGTGCCGCTTTTGATTTGTCTGATGGCCATGCTGATTTCTTCAATTGTTGGTGGGCCAACATTGATTGGGAGGTCCGTGGGTGCTGCTTCGATATTCGGTGGTTTCAGTGGAGCTGGTCGATTCAAGAGTTCTTTGAAGTGTTCTACCCACCTGTTTCGCTGTTCTTCGATGTCGGTGATTACGTTCCCTTCCTTGCTTTTCACTGGTCGTTCTGGTTTACGATGATTTCCAGAGAGTTTCTTTGTTGTGTCATACAATTGTCTCATGTTTCCTACTCTTGCAGCCTTTTCCGCCGTCGTTGCTAAATCCTCCACATATTAACTTTTGTCGGTTCTGATGCTCCTCTTCACTTGTTTGTTTACTTTTGTGTATTCAGCTTGTGCCTTGGCTTTTTCTGCTCTTGTTCGACTGATATTGATTGCTGCTTTCTTGTTCCTCCTTTCTTGAATCTTATCCAGTGTATCAACAGTGATCCATTCCTTGTGATGGTGCTTCTTGTGACCCAGGACCTCATGACATGTTGAAGTGATTGCCTCTTTGATCCTCTTCCAGTTGCTCTCCACAGTAGTTTCTTCTCCATTGAGTAGATCATGAAAGGCCTGGAACTTATTGCTGAGGACTATCTTGAATTCGTTGAGTTTGTTAGTATCCTGAAGAAAGGTTGTATTGAACTTTTGTGATATTTTCCGCCCCATTGTCCAGTGCTTCTTGAGTTTCAATTTCATCTTGGCGACCAGCAAGTGATGATCTGATACTATATCAGCTCCTCTCTTGGTTCTCACGTCCTCTATAGTCCTCCTGAACGTTTTGTTGATGCAAATATGGTCGATTTGGTTTTGCGTGGTGTGATCCGGTGAAGTCCATGTGGTTTTGTGTATGCGTTTATGTGGGAATATGGTGTCGCCTATGACCAGTTTATTGAAGGCATATAGGTTTGCAAATCTCTCACCATTTTCGTTCCTTTCTCCCAGTCCGTGTCGTCCCATGATGTCTTCATATCCGGTGTTGTCCGTTCCAACCTTGGCATTGAAATCTCCCATCAGAATGGTCAGGTCCTTTGTTGGGCACTTCTCGATGATTGACTGCAGCCTATTGTAGAATCGATCTTTAGCGTCTTCATTGTACTCGTTGGTAGGCGCATAGCATTGGATGATGTTCATTGAAATGCCCTCTTTCTTTGTTTTGAAGGAGGCTTTGATGATCCTTGATCCATGAGATTCCCATCCTATAAGTGCCTTTTGTGCTTGTTTAGACAGCATCAGTGTAACTCCTTGTGTATGTGGAGCATTTTCTTCTTCATGGCTGGAGTATAACAGAAGCTCCCTTGAAGCTAGTCGTTGTTGTCCAACTTGCGTCCAATGTGTTTCACTGATCCCAAGCACCTCTAGGTTGTATCTCCTCATTTCTGCAGCAATTTGGAAGACTCTCCCGGTCTCTCACACTGTACAAACATTCCATGTACCTAAATAAATGGTTGCTCTGGTTGTCAGAAGGGGCATCGGCCTCGTGACTTCCGAAGGAACTCAGCTTTCACCATGAGGTGTCATAACTCTTCTAAATGAAGACCTCCCAGGGCAGAGTTTAAATTATCTGAATAATTTTTCCTGGTTACCTTTTTTAGCGAGTTAGTTTTCTACGGGATGGGGTCCCTAATCCCGTGCCCAGCCCTCCTTTATCTGGGCTTGGGGCTGGCAGTAGCCCCAGAAGGGCTCCTGGCGTAGTCAGGAGTAATCTTAGGGTCGTCATATTCAAGTTGATTGTTGTTATCCAACCCCACGATCCATCTTAATATATGGAAGGCAGACGTAAAAGTGATCAGCTCTGTGGCCTTAAATGAGAAAATATGCACAGAAGTGCCAGTAGAAGTCATGGAGCCACTTCTGCCAGTTATACAGCTAAACAGTTAAACCATTTATGCCCCTGAAAAGTTCCGATAAAGAAAAGGCAGTTCCATCCCTGGATAAACTGGAACATTCAATTTCTATTGAGAAAAGAGAAAGTAAACGTTGCAACGTCTTGGAAAAGTAAATACAATAGAACGCTGCAAGTCGATCCGGAAAAAGTGCAAAAACAATATACGAAAATCACTTTTCACAAACTGCAGCTAAGAAGTTAAAGCGACTGTCCTTATATATCAATCATAGAACAAGGACGGAACCCAAAGATTCCCAGTTTAATTACGAGAGTTCATCCTATTTGATAGAGCGAATCCAGGATAGAGTAGAAGCCATGAGTGAAGACTTCGTGACTATTTCCACTCACGAGCCTCCTGTCAATATAGGACTAGCCCCCGAAACTGTCGCCGAATCGGTCACTCATTGTGGACTTACGTCAGAATGAGTCACCAAAAGGACTAAGCAATTTAGACAAAATAATCAGGACCGAATACGTTACACTCCTGGCTCCGTTCCAAGTCTCTTATTTTTCATACCCCATGTAAATAAATTCCCACGTATTGTAAAGTCTCTGATGCCACTTTACTCTGATGTCAACATGTGGCGAAAAGTAACTGAGAGTACCGTTGCTTGTGGATTTCTGACCGATCTAGACGTTTGGCAAGCTGGTTTAAATTGTAGTTAATGCCCTATCAATACAGTTATATTTCTACATTCACATTGGACACATACGTAAATAGCGAAACATGGGGAAAACATCAGTGTCCTTAGTCCTGTATCATAGCCATCTGACAGTAATAGTGGGTCACAATCTTCGAACCGCACCATACTGCCGTGCAGTTGTGTCTGAAGGGTTGAGAACCATGTGAGCATCGAGACGAACATTTATCAAGTTGGATACAAATATGTTTGCCATGGTATGTACAGCCGTAGTGAGATCCAGACTTGAAGATTTTTCATGCTCCAAGGCCCTGTTTAATTGACTCGAACATCTTGAAAAAGGTATTGAGGATAACTACCCGTGCAATTCCGGAATTCTAAGGCTTACCATACACAGTAGTGGTTGAGAATTTAGATCTAATTTTTTTGTATGGGATACTAAGTGGGGATCTTTCTATCTTTGTCCTTAGGGTATAATATACTTGTTTCAAGCATTTACTGGTTTCTCAAGAATTTTGTACCTTACTCAGTACTTACTTTTGTGCACTTCCTTACAGGAATATGGCTGGAAGTAGGTGGCCGGCTGCAGTGGCTCCTACTAACAGAGTCGGGAATGCTTCTCGAGCAAAACAAGTTATTTTCGAACCTACATTTGCCAAAGTATGTCTTTATCATACGAAGTATAGATTTTATTAAGATGGAAAAAGAGAATTACGCTTTAACTCAGCGACTAAAGGAAGCTTTCTATAAGGTAAGTTTGAATTAGGATACAAATTCGTGCCTATATTAGGTAGAGAAGCGGTATCCTGGTTTCAGTAAAGATTTCATGATTGGCTTGCTTCAGCGGATGGGAGTCGATAGTGAAATCGACGTGACTGAAACGTGTTTACGGATTGCTGCTCTTCAAGAGTGTGGTATTGCCTTTGATGTTTTTTTAGATTGCATGTAATTTCAGATAATCCAAGGACGTCAAGAAATCCTAGAGTTTTGGAGTTGGAACTTACGGCTAAGACCCTGAAAACTATTCTTAGTAGCATACCTGATGAAATTATCGACCGCAGAGCATTTATAGAAGTCATCAAGTAATTCAATTGTTCAACAAAAGTTATTTACTTAGAGGAATAGCAGATGCGATAAAGATGTTGTTAGCTGCTGTGGGTGCGTTTTATGATACGTTACCACCAGGAACACAAAAGAAATGTCTTGAAGATCAAAAACGAAAATTTATCACCTACTGTCGTAAATTTAGTGACACTTTGAAGCAGTACTTTAGGAACAACGAGTTAGTGTGGAATTGTTTAACTATAAATTCGATTTTTGCTGTTTCTTGTCTTTTGGTAGCCATCAAAAGTAAACTTAATAAAGATGAAAAACGGCTTCCCTCACAAATGTTTAGTAAAGCTACTGTAGGTATGATACTCTCATCTTAAGCTGTTTATCATCTCGCTTTCTAATTAGACACTCCACTTAGTTCGACTTCTGAGTTTTATTTAAAGTAGTGTACTGGCGAGCTATGGTTTTTTCTTGTTTCGATTCATTGTTGTCAGTTATTCAGTGTTTCGTATTTAATAACTCTAATCGCACTATACGCTGTTTATTCCACTGTCTTTTTTCTCTCTCATCGTCCTCTTGTTTTAGATGTAATGCGTTGACTTTGTCTGACCAGTGATTGGAGTTAGTGGTGTTGTAATTCAATATGTTAAGCACTCAACTTTTAACCTATACTTGACGTGTCTAAAATCTGCCTTAAATACTTCGGCTAAAGCAGTTAGGTTGCAGATCATACCGTAAATTCACAAAAACCCGACAGATGAATATGTTCTAAATTGTATTAGATTTATTGAACGTAAGCCATCAATAGTTAAACATCGTCATCTCCTTCCATCTGTATACTGATCTTTATTTGTTTTATGAGGTTAAATTTATCTCAGTCCGATGAATTTTGACAAGTTCTATCGAGACCGACTATATCGTACAGGGGCTAAAACAGGTCTCGGTGTGTTGGTTATGTACCTATTAATTCTACTTTTTCACCGGGAACACTAATCGTGAGGTCCGCTTATGCCATACGGTTGCCCAAGTCGAAGTAGACTGGACGGATCTCGGACCTGTGACTTAGTGTCTAAGTTGCCTTAATCACTGAACTACGGCTCCGTTAACCTGTTAAATGGTTTCAGAATTACATCAGGGACAAGATTTTTAGCAGTTGTTTGTTGTACGAAACTTTTAAATAACTAGTAAATTAGTTCAAAGGCTTCATTTTTGGTTCATTTCTGTTTTTGTTCACCAGTGACGTACTTAGTATTGTGTTCATGATTTTTTGAGATTTCGGAGTGCGGTGTTCTCCAATCTTCATCAAGTACGTTTCCTTATTTGTTTATGCAGTATCGGGTCGCGTTCAAGTTGTCTCGGGATTGTCGTGAAGGATTATTATATTACAGTTTACTATCATAACACGACTACAATAATAAATCATAATACTATGCTGTTATTTGTTTGATCGGCTTGATGACTTCGTTTCATCTTTTTTAACTGTTTCTTCCTTATCTACTACTTGGGTATGAGCTTGACACCATAGACCTGGTATTCTAGAAAGTATCCACAAATGATCCGGGGATAGAGTATGGAAAATGCTTCTCTCCTGTATTTTTTTTGGAAGTCTTACTTAAATGAGATGGGTATACGGTTTTTCAAGTCATGGGTTTCAGCTCTATACAAGATACTAAACTATTATATATATATATAGTTGTTGTTGATCTGTACGTTTAGTAATAAATTAGATGACTGATTTATTTAATTCACCTAAAATTGGGTATAAAGATGCCGGAATTTCATGAACCACTCAAAAGGGAGTGAGGCAGAACACAAAATAGGTGAACTAGAATAGTATATGGAAGAAGACATAATTCTGTAAAAATACGACCAACAAAGACTCGCAGTTTAGAAAATTCATCACATTTTTTTGGATTATGCAAAAACATTGCAGCAGGATTACGATTGGCTTCTATTTTGAGCCATGTCGAATAGTGTTTCAAGAATTGTGTCGAACCATATTTAGAACCTTGACTAGAGATTCTCGATGTCCCATACATCTACTTTCCATACAACATAGCCATGTCATAAACTGACCACCTCTCCTCTTTTTTTCCGATCAATCCAGGGGTTATTGAATAATACACGAAGTAGAAGCTCCTGTGATGATATTCTTTACACATTCTCAAGCCATCGACGTCAAAGTTTCAAGATGGTGGCACTGGTAAAATTACCGTCACTGTACCGAAACACAAATCAAAAGTTTGAGATCCATGGCTACGTACTTCGGAACTTTCCAGAATATCAATTACAAAGTTTATGAGGATTGGTGGGATTTACCAGTCCTACTTAATCCCACTGCTGAAATGAGACGATTAAGAGTGTAGTTATATGCTATCGTTTTCCACGAAGTGTTTGTTTACAGGGGTTTTATGATATTTTCAGGCACGCCCTTCAACAAATAATCATAAAACATAGTCCTGTCTTGCAAATAGAAGGTGCCCCTGATATCAAGAAGCTAACTGTTAATCTGCAATAAAAGTGGTTGTGTTCTGACATTCGGTGATGTGTGTGGAAATGATCAACATACCTATAACCAGATCAAAAACTGGCGTACTCCTTGCAGATCAGTCTATATATATATAGTCAAATGATTGCGTGTATGCTGGAATATTTAGATCATATTTAATAACTTAATACTCATATGCTCATATTGCTTATCGTTTATGGCTAACACGACAACCTTAGCGACCGTTTTACATCGGAGTTATTTCTAATTAACTGTGATTACATACATGATATCACTTCTCGAATATTCCCGGATTTGACGTGTTCCGGTGTCTAGTTTCATAGTTATTTTGTGTAGTTCGTAAAGGTTCTCAGTTTGACTACGTTGATTTACAAACATTGATCATCATTAGGACGTTATAATGAGATAAGGAAATTTTCTGTACGTTTGTAATTTCTATGAATTTTATTTAATATTGATTTAATCTCCACTGTCCAGAAAATCAACCATTCTTGTGTTATTTAAACTGAATTAATTCTCAATTGTTTGACCTTTCCTTTTTTAGTCAAACTGTGGTTTTCAGCAGCGCAAACCTTCTAGTTAGCCAAACCAACCTAATTTTGTTTGTGGTTCATGATGTAGATTGAAGAAAAGTGAAAAATGCCACCATTGTTAATATTTTGTGCTTACTTCGGATTATATTTCCTTATGAATGTGATTTATGAATAGTTGAAAAATTAGTTTTTACTTTTGCGTAAACATCTATAGTAAACTGGTTACTTTTTTTAAACATTAAAATTGCGATTTCGCGTTACTTTTTTCCAAATATTTGGCCAAGTGACAAATTATTTTGCATCATTACTTATACTTTCTTTATTTCCAGCTCCTTGTAAATTGAGAATAAAAGCTTTTTACGAAATAGGATATAAAATTATTTGTGCTTCAAGTTTGACTTTTACGCTGCATAGTGTGACCTTTTTGACAAACCATATAAACTTTTACAATTTATTTAGCTACTTGTGATAGATGATCTTAAAATAATCATAGAACTAAAGTAGACTATATCTGACTGGTCCCATTAGTCAGTTCCCACCATACATTCATCTATGTTTTCTAAATACTTAATTACTTATTATACACGGCTGATTTTAAGCCTAAAAGAATAGCAGACAAGGTAATTCAGTAAGTTTATCGTTTTGGTCTGATATCTAATGCACGATAATGTTCGTGGATTCACTACATTCAGACGACAATTGAAGCGTGGATTTTTTGTTTACATTTATGCTATTTTTAGAGTAAACAATTAAGCCTAATGGAAGTATTTGTAGGTCAGAATGAGAATTCTGATTGCTTTGTTACCTGAGCTGGATGGTTTAATCATAAAGCTTTTATTGTTAATATAAACTTCAGTGAGAAATATTATTAGAATTTCTCTACAGTTTTCTTCCTACTTGTCCTGTTGACCTAGAATTTGGTTGGCTGTTGCCTATAGGTGTGCTGCCGCTGTTTACTTTGATTGTTTGGCCCTCGAAACTTGGCGTTGTATATAGTTTTTCTTGTTCGTTGCCAATGACTGATTGACAAATTTGTCTTCTAGAGTGCGATGTTGGCGATTGTTAAACATGCTCGGAAGGTGGACTGCTGGTCACTTTTTGCCTGGTATTTACTAGGCCAATTCAATCATTCTATACTGGATCTAAATTCATGACGAACACTAGTAATACGGAAATATTTTTAATGGATTGTGCGGGATTCGTCATATATACAGTGGAAACAACTCACCGTACAGCCCACATAGTTTTATGTTCATTTCACGTATGCAGAGCCATGTGTAGAAAGACCCATCTACGTATCCTACGCACACTAATTATGCATTGAATGTGATAAAAGCTTGCCACTATTCACGAACAAGTTGACATAAGTACTGCTTTGATATAGGATTACGGGTCTTTCTACACATGGCTCTACACACGTGAAATGAACATAAAACTATGTGGGCTGTACGGTGAGTTGTTTCCACTGTAAATATGACGGATATTGCACAATCCATTGAAAATATTTTCGTATTACTAGTGTTCGTTATGATTAGTTGTCTGTTTTATCATCCCTATCCTTATTCACTTCACTTCGACTCTTTCGCGTATTGTTTTATACTACTTAATAATATCCAGTAAATTGTATTCTTAGCAATTTCTGCGCTTACGTTGTAACACAAGTTTGTCGTGTAATATCCCGAAATATTTACATATACTTATAACATATATTGTATTTATCATTATAATTACCATGTCTCGATTGCTGTAGCAGTTATCCACAGTTTTGTGCATTTTTTTAAACGCAACGGTTTCCATATAGTTTTCTCTTGGTTCTGATTTTGCTTGTTGGTAAATTGTTACCAAGTTTAGACACAACTATCAGCTGTCTTTTGCACTATCGTATGTTGTAACTATTTTTTGTTACTGTTACAGGAAGCTCTCTTTATTTCATATAAAAGGACGCGTTAAGCACTGCAGATACCTCACAAGTTGAGGTTTGTAACTCAATTTTGTATATTAAATAAAGAACCGCTATTTTAGACAACCCGTTGTTTTGTGAACTTCGATTTTGAACGTATCTCAGTTGGGTGACTTGGACACTTCGATAAAATTAACATGATTTATGATCCACACCATATGTTCCTTCGTTCAGGCAAACATAATCCGGGTTCCGCACCCACAGTTATCTGTAGAAACCAACTGAAAGGGTTCATAACTAAAAACATTCGATAGGCAGAACACTTTCACTTACTTTTCGATGAAGTTTTGTTCTCTGAGCTGAATGGTTTAGTCGTAGAGCTTTCATTGTTCTTCTGAGCGACATCATCAGCACAAACTCCAGGTAGAAGTCTACCTGAGCTACAAATCTTTACCATCTCACTTTCACTTACATTCTGTTGGTGTTGCATGTCGAACCGAGGCAAATTGCTTCAGGAAAACATGTATACATTTCAATTTGCTCATAGTACTGAATTCTCCTCACTTGGTTAGCATCCCCACCATAGCATACAAGTACTTTTTCACTACGTAAGGTTGAAAGCACATAACTGAAACTCTCACAGCCTGAAAAACCATAGATCTATAGGAAAAACTTACGTTTGACAACTTTATATTTCAAATTATTGACATAATGAACGGTAATGGTCTCTCCAGAATTGTCTTCGACATATTTAACAATCTGCTCAGGGTGACTCCCAGTTTTTGTCATCCGTATAACAACTAGCAACTGATCAACATTTAATTTCCTGTACCACGCATCATATGTCAGTTACTTCTCATCACAATAGCGGTTGTGGATCATCTTAGATGAAGCTATTATATACCGATTGAGATCATACCTCAAACGAAACATGGCTTTGCAACCAGTAAACTTTGATCCATACATAAGTTAGTATAATAACAGTTATTCACTCTGATCATGACCATCCGGCTTCCTTTTATGGCCAGAACAACAGATATGCACTACGTTCTGGTAGCTGATCTCTAGCTTTCCAGTGTTCAGTTTGCTTTCATGCACGTCGTGATGCGTTCAAGTCATCCAATAATGTTACATGGTATATTTTCAATAACAAACCTTCCGTAATAGATCGGTAGCATCTCTGACTTGGTCCCAGGTTATCAGGTGCCTGGGTCTCATGACCCTTTCGAAAACACTGGTATCCACACAGACTGGATATTCAGTGTTAGTTTGACTCGTTGATGGGATAGGGTTGTCCATAATACTGAAGAAACTAAACCGTTTTCTTTCATTGCTCTTGATAACATCATAAATGACAGGAACGAACATGAAGATAGTTAGAAAATCCCACGCGGCAGCAACATTTATTCTAGCTAAAAGACGCTAACTCTGTTTTCGATATCTACAAAATAATACTCAAAACAAAACGGATTAGTATTTTATCATATGAGCACATAAACACGCCTGGAAGAATATACTGATTTGAGTAGTAGTAGTAGCAAGAGAAGAAAACGTAACTGATTCAAAAATGTTAACGCCAAAATTTAGAGGACCATATGAATTACAGAATTTCAGCACACTGAAAGACTAAATTTTGCAGCGACACGAAAAAGCCAGTGGGAAAACAGACATAGACAAGCCGATGGCCGTTGCTTGCAAAGATGGTTGAGATGATGATTCCCGCTTCATTCTGATTGGCCACCAAGTGGGCTGCCAAAATTGCGAATCGGATTTGAGTTCATTTCCATTCAAAAAATAGTGAACACGAAATTGAATGAAGATGATCTTAATTATAAATAATTGTATGTTGTGTATTGTATTGTCTGGTGATTAGTCGATGATAATAATATCGCATTATTTATTTTTATTCTTATTACTATGTTATATCCTAGCGGAGGTTAAATTATAGGTAACTTTTAGAGCTATTAATGGACTAATATTATACATGTATTTTCATTATATAATTATTGGGTAACCAGATTATGCTTATTTATATTCCGCTTATCATAAGCTTTATTTTGATTTATGGACTATTATTTCACGATTTGCTATCCTTAAGTTTTACCTAGTTTATTAATTACGCTTTCTCACTATCACAGTCACTCTTTGGCTTGATCTTGTACACTCGTTATTTTTTATTTGTGGTATGATGTGGTCTGGTTGGCTTGTATATAAACCAGGTATGTTTGAAATATATGATCCATATGATGGGAGTTGGTACTGACATTCTAGACTTAACAGGCAGGGCTAGGCAGTAAAAGGACCAATAAGGACACTAAGCTGCTCTTACCCGTCAATACGTCATTGGTTCGACACAATGCTAAAGTCGTACAAGTATTATGGATTGGTGATTTTACCACGTCATATATTAATCAGGCACAAGTCACGACACATTATATCGTAAAAACATGATATATTTTTATCCTTTTCTGAACTCCACTGGCTTTTAGGATCAGTTTTCTTTAAAAACTTCCATTGCTGGCAAAATACTTCTTATAGGTCAAACCGATAGTGATTGATGAGTGATTGTGTATCTAATAGAAGACAACTGAAAACAGAGTTATAGTTTATACGGAGGATTAAAAGCGTCCTTCATATATTTCACACATTACAGTTCTCAAAATATGGTAATAAAATTTATTGGTCATTAAAAATCTAAGTGCCTTGTCTATTTGTTGATTTTAGAACAAGTCACCAAAAATGTTACAAGTTCTTTACTATTCATGAACGTATTTATAAAATAAATAATACAAATAATGAAATAGTTGAGAAGATTTGTAACTCAGGTGGATGATTTCGACTTCTACCTGAAGTTCGTGCTGATGATATCGTTCAGAAGAATGATGAAAGCTCCACGACCAAATCATACAGCTCAGAGAACAAAACTTCATCGAAAACTAACAATGAAGTTGTACGTTACGCTGATAAGACAATCACCAAGCAGACATGACTAAATCTAAACATAATAGGAATAAGGAATTAGTTATCATGTGAAATCGTTAGTATGACACAAAAATAAATATATGTTATCTGTTGCATGAACAAATAGTATTGTTAAATAAGCATGATTGTTAAAATCATAGGCAATATGAAGTTCTATCTTCTGAAGTGTTTAGTTATAGTCTGGATTACATGATATACTTTTGACGAGGTTGTTTAAGACATTTCAAAGAATAGATCATTTCGAGTTAATCATTAATAGATTAAAATGAATGCTCTTGTCGATCCGTTGGCCCTACTTATTGCATGAATTCCATAAAATTAATCTCCGAAATTTCAAGTTCATGTATGTGCAGATATGGTTCGAACTCACACCCATAACTGTCTTTTCGGCATATGCCATACTTCTTCATGGGTTTAGTCAGTGACACTAGTAGTACCGTAGCGATAACGTACAAAAGTTCATTTGTATATTTAAATGAGAATTTTGACATACAGAAACATAAATTA